CCACAAGTGCCGATGTCACGACATTGGTTTCTTGCATTAGGCACATCAAGTAAGAGCATTGTTGACTGTGATGGACAAGGGTTAGCTTCGTCCTCTCCGGTGATTATATTAACATTGAGGGACGTCGTCTGTAAATGTATCCTACACCATCGATTAAGCCATTCCTGGAGTTATTGCCGATTTCTATGAAACCCAAAGGTGTGTAGCTGTGCAAACTGAAATTGTTTATGTATTTTGGGAATATGAACCATGTGTTTTGAGTTTTGGTTGTTGGGTTTGTGAGTGGTTGTTGTATTGACACATTCACCCAATTTAAGTCGCAACGTTAATTTAGGGCAAAGTTCCTCTGTGATGTTGCAATCGTTAATGTACATGGCATTGGTATTCTGACGTTGGTTCTTTGTGGTGATGTTGTGCTTGTTGATGTTAGTGGGCTAAGTAGAAAACTTGATAACCAAACCTACATATAAAGAAAATATTCCACAATAAGAATATATAACATCAAGCGGGCAACACTATCACCCCCAAAAATCACTCCGCACATGCCTTCTTAACAGTATAGTAATGTTAACCACATACCTTATCCACACATACCCACTAGCGGTAAAACAAGGATACAAAAGGAAAATCAAAAAATTAATATATCAAACAAATATAACATATCAAAAAAAAAAAAAAGACTAAATGGTTTAATAAAAAACATTCAAGACTAAATAGAGCAACATTTCCCCATACGAGATTTATGAGTAATTTTTCCATAATTTTGTAATTATTTTTGAAAAGTTGGATTGAAATGTAATTTTGCTTTTAAAATATATTTTTTTAAAATTAAATAATTTTAAATTTATTTCTAAAACTGAATGTTATTTATACCGAATTCATGTTGACTTTAAAATTAAAAAATCCTACTTTCAAAACACAATTTTAGTTTAACTTAATATAAAACTTTTTGAAGTGAATTTTTAAAACATAACTTTCGAAAATATCTTATTTAAAAAATAAACAAATTCAATAACCTTCATTTAAAAAATTTATTAATTTTTTGGGAAGAACCTTTTTTTTTTGGCAAACAACTCGCAATTGTGGCACAAAAATCATATTCATGCAAAAGGGTCCATTAATAATGGGGGAATGCACCACAAGACTATCACATATGGGCCTTCCCTTCCAGTAGTTGTCAAAGCATAGGGTATTATTTTATTTTATTTTACTTTACTTTTTCACAACCTTTTTGTTGGACCAATCTATTTTATTACTATAATACCCAAATTCCCAAATTTATGAACATCAAAATGCACAAATTATAATCGTTCAAAAAAAAAAAAAAATGCGCCAATTATAAACTCTTAAAAATAAAAATAACAGACGCAAAACTGATTGTCCATTTAGGTTTTTTAAAACAGATTTTATAACATAGATTTGAAATTCAAACTTATGAAGAAATATTAAATAATTAATTAACTAATATGCTAGCAAATAAACAAATAATAATAACCAATTTTACAACCAACTCAAAACCCTAAACAGAACCCCCCAAAAAAAAATCCTGAAAAAAGAATAAAACTTAATCATTGTAAAAAAAACTAAAAAGCTATTTTTTTGTGATTTTAATCATTGTAAAAATTTAATCATTGTGACTTTTTTATGTTAAAAAAACTAATTTTTTTTGTGATTTTTTTGTGTTAAAAAACTAAAAAGCCAAAAAGTGTGTTGTTCCCAAAACACCCAAACCCAATCCAAATAGAAATATCATCACAGCCTCATACCACTAAGTAGAATCAGAAGCAGAATCAGAAGCTGTAAAAAAAAAAAAAACAAAAAAAAAAGGTGAATCGGTGATCAACCAAACCCTAAACCCTAAAACAAACACAAATATATTTATATTTATATCTATCTATCTATCTATCTATCTATACTATTATAAAGTGAACACCTTTTATGGTGTCCTGAAGTTTTACTCTCCTCATGCCATGTGGCAGTATCTTTTATTTTTTAAAAAAAAGGCTTTACTCTCCTCATGTCATGTGGCAGTATCTTTTTTGACAGTATCTTTTATTTAAACTCTCCTCATGCCATGTGGCAGTATCTTTTATTTTTTAAAAAAAAGGCTTTACTCTCCTCATGCCATGTGGCAGTATCTTTTTTGGCAGTCTCATGCCATGTGGCAGTATCTTTTATTTTTTTAAAAAAAGGCTTTACTCTCCTCATGCCATGTGGCAGTATCTTTTTTGACAGTATCTTTTATTTAAACTCTCCTCATGCCATGTGGCAGTATCTTTTATTTTTTAAAAAAAAGGCTTTACTCTCCTCATGCCATGTGGCAGTATCTTTTTTGGCAGTATCTTTTATTTTTTAAAAAAAAGTTAAACAAAAAGATAGGCAAGACTTGAACCCATGACCATAGGTTTAAGTACGAAGACTCATACCACTTAAACTAAGTACATATTATAATATTAATTTCATTATTATTTTTTTTTATTCCTACTTATTTAAATTGCATACACATCGTGTGTGTCACCCACTAGTATATACATATACACACATGGATACGAGCAAGGATCCTCTAGAGTGATTTTTTCCTAAAGTTTTCTAGAGTGTTACATTGTGTGGTTGAGATTTACTGGCAAGTCACATCAATTTTTCTGATGTGACTTGCCAGTAAATCTCAACCACACAATATAGTACTCTAGGAAACTTTAGAGAAATTTCACTCTAGAGGATCCTTGGTGCATGGATACACACACACACAAAGGGTTGTTGATTTGGTAGATGGAAATGAAATCATCGGCTGTGATGATGGATCTGATCAACCACCCTTAGAAACAACCCATCTCTCTCTCTCATCAGCCTCATTCTTCTGGGTTCAATTCTCCCATTTTCTTTTCTTGGCTCCTAAATTCTTCTATTTATAGTAACCCTAGTTCTCACTTTCGTCCCTGTTTTGAATCTCGTTTTACCCCTTTTGAGAAGGAAGTCTCCTTGACCCAAACACCAAGGATCCTCTAGAGTGAAATTTTCCTAAAGTTTCCTAGAGTGCTACATTGTGTGGTTGAGATTTACTGACAAGTCACATCAATTTTTCTGATGTGACTTGCCAGTAAATCTCAACCACATAATGTAACACTCTAGGAAACTTTAGGGAAAAATCACTCTAGATGATCCTTGCTCTGACCCAAATTGAGCGTCAAAGTAAAGAGAAAATATTCAAAAAAACATTTATATCTGTTTGGAAATTTGCATTTTGGCTAAAATAATTTAATAAAGATAAAATTTCATAATCAAAATATAATTATGAATGAAAATTTGTGCTAGGTAGGGGATGTAAAAAAATAAAAATAAAATATGTTTATATGAAATAATATAAATAGTTAGAATTTTGTATGTAAATTGTGAAAATAAAAAAATTATTGAAACTTATAATTTAAATTTTATAATTTTATCACAATTTATGCATCAATTTTTAAATTGTCACAATTTCAATAATGTAAATTTCAACTCACTTACTAAAGTTTATAAATTTAGACAAGTTGAACCCAAACAACTCGAGTCAAACCTATAAATTTTTAAAGATTGAGTAATTTAATTTTTTATTCGATAAGAATCTATTTAAAATTCACAAATTCGAATAAATTTGAATGGATTTGGACAAAGATATCAAATAATTTGAATAATCGAAACAAAATTGTATATATAAATATATGAAATTATTTGCTAATTTATTTTTTAAATTAATGAACAAAAACAAATACACCTTTTAAAAGAAATCATCAAATAAGTTGATATTAAAAAAATTATATTTTATAATAACACAAAATAATTTAAATATGATTATTCAAAAATTATTTTTAATTTAAAAATTACAATAAAATATTTAAATATAATAAAATTAAATTTTTTCAAAATAAAAGTATCTGTATAAAAAAAATAAGAAGAAAATTTAGAATGAGATTCTCATTTGATCTGAAAATAATTATAGATGACTAATAAATTGTTCAGGAAAAATGTTTGAGGGCCACAATTTTTACGGCTCAAATGACTCAAAATTACCAAAACGATAAAACGACATCATTTTATACTCAAAAAGACATCATTTTAACAATTTTGAGTCATTTGAGCCACAAAAATTATGACCCTCAACCATTGCTGATTATCCAGAGCTGTTACAGACCGAATCACATTGGTGCGAATGGCTCGAATGAGGTCGTCTGTCCATTCTTCACGCGCAGCATAACATGTGTAGATTTCACGCGCCTACAAAATAATATTCACCTTGCTTGGTTTTCAGTTTTCCAAAACACTTTTCAGAAAATTTTACTTTCTTATTTTCCGTGTTTTTTTGTTTTTACTGAATTTTTTTAATATTTTAAGCAATTTTTTTTACTTTTTAGACACACCTAACATAAATACACCTAAAAAGTAAAAAAATTGTAAAAAAAATCTTTTAAAAATTCACTAAATACAAAAAATACAAAAAAATACAAGAATTCAGTATATTTTTTGTATTTTTATGTATTTATTAATTTTTTAAAATATTTTTTCACAAATTTTTTACTTTTTAAATACATCTAAGTAAGATGCATCTAAAAAAATAAAAAAAAATGTTTAAAATTTAAAAAATATTCACTAAAAACAAAAAAACACAAAAATCAAAAAAATCAATTTTCAAAAAACTTAGGGTATGTTTGGTTTGTGTTTGAGAGATATGTTTTAGAGATAAAAAGTACGAAAAGTTATTTGGTTTGGTTTTTTTCAAAAGATGTTTTGAAAAATTATTTTGAAAGAGAGTTTTGGAAAAAGTGATTGATTTGATGTGTGTGAGAGAGAGATTTGTTTGGAAAACTTGTTTGGTTTACAAGATTTGAGAAATTTTTTTAAGAAAATTTATTTGATTTGATTACTTTTAAAAACTTATTTGTAGAGAAAATTTCCCAAAAATTTTTCAGAAATACAAACCAAATGAACCCTTAATCTAGAAAACTCAAACCAACACAATTATGACCTAGAAAGACCACTTCGCGGGAGATAGAAAGACTACGACCTAGAGGACGATGACGACGACCTAGGTGGCGACGACGATGACGACCTAGGTGGCCACCGACGACGAAGAAGACCACCGGTGACCATTGACCACCGTCTCCCACTCCCTAATTCCTCCGGTTTCTCTGAAAATTTTGGCTCCACCCACCAACAACGAACTGATTCGTGGGTCACTACTGGTATTGCTTCAAACATATTCTTTGCTTTATATTGGTTGAAATCTGCTTGGTGTATGATTTTGCTCCTATTTCTTTACATTGGTTGAAATCTTCTTGGTCCATAATTTGTTTTAGGCATGAGTTTGGTGCTTTTGTATTGATGCATTCTATGTGTTTGTTGAAAGTCCACATAGAAAGATTTTGTTTGTTAAGACAATTGTTATGTGTATGGTACCTTTATTTCATTGTTGAGAAATGTTGAAGTTCATCACAAAAACCAAACTGTAATGAAGAAATTAATGTAGAGCTGGATTCAATTTGGAGATGGAAACAAAACAGAAACAGATTGAACATTCATTGAACAAAATCTCTTATCCATTGAACAAAAATTAAACTGTTTGAACATTAAACAAAAACCAATGATGGACTACCAATGATTTTGGAGTCATTTTACAACTCTTTCATGGCAGTGTTGCCCACAGCTGGGGCTTAATTGGTTGCATGAGCTTAATTATAATTATAAAAAATAAAAATAAAAAAAGGAAAAAAGAAAAAAAAGGGAGAGAGATTGGGGTAAGTTTGTAAATAAATAGTCAGGAATTTGTTTCATTTTAATTGGCTCTGTTCTATCTTAAGAGTAAAATTACTTTCTACATCATGTAGTGTTTAGAGGTTTGATAAAGTATATTGATTTCAATTTCTTGATGTTGTTCTATATCACTTGATTTTGTATGTGATAATTTTTGGTGGAATTTGATATGCCTATAACCTGAATTGTCTTTGTAGCTTGCTTGTGATCCCTCATTGATGATTCTTATGTAGTAAATGGTTTTTGACTGGTTGTATTCTATTCTCCAAGTTGCTCCCAGCTTACTTTTTCTCGATACTGTCCTTTCTCTTGAATGATTTATTTACCATTTCCCCATAGTTTCCCTTGATCTTATGTCAATTACTCTTTATATAATATCACTGGGTTTATTTATGAGAAAGCAACTAAATTTTTTCATATTGTTTACTTTCCCATTGAATAGGCACAAGGTGGCCTAATGCAAATGGTGGACAATATTGGAAGCGCATCTCTTAGTCATTCAAGAATGGTGAACAATATAAGCAGTCAAAGTGGATCAATTGCTTCAAAATTTGTCAACTTGAATATAAATGTGGATCCAAATGCCCCTTTTTATTTTTAGTTTTTAGTAGTAATTTTATGACCTTGTTTTGTAAACTTTGGATACTTTGGTTTGTTTAGGATCCAATCAAGTGATTTTGGCATTAAACAATATATTTTGGAAGGTGACTTATTATTCTCTTGGGTGTTTGGATGATGTTGATATGGTTTTATATTGGCTTAATTCAATTTTGGTTCCAGCTTAATTCGGTTTTGGTGGAAGCTTAATTTAGTTTTATGTTGATATGGTTTTATTTTTTAGAAGGTGACTTGAATTGTGCTTACCTGTTTTAAACATGTCTATGCTATATGGTTAGCCGAATAATGGGAAGTTAGGACAGACCCCTGATACCACAGATGTAGTAGAGTGGCTGTAGTTTTAACTCTCTTTGTGCTTACCTTTTTTTTTTTTTTTAACTCTCTTTGTGCGTACCCTCTTTTTTTTTTTTTTTAACAAATGCTATCAAACCATTGAGAGAAATTAGATATTAAAGTTCTGCTTAAGGATTAAAATGAACAAGAGCTCCTTTGGAAAAACTCTCTTTATGGAGGTGGCATCAAGATTTGAACGTTATCTCACTGAATAGTTATGGTTAAGAGATCATAAAATGGTTCTGTAAATCAAGAGATGTATGATTATACTAAACTAGTCTTTAATATTTCTCTTTAGGAATATGTCTTATGGTTGCTGAAATGTTAAGACAAGTTTCAAGGTTTCTTAGGCTTTTTAGTTGAATTGGTGGTAAATTTACAATCTTTTAGTCAGTATCTTAGGATATTTTTTAACATGTTTCCTGGGCACTATTTTGATGTGATAAACGTATGGTTTATGGTTCTTAATTTTATATATGTATGTCATATGGTATTTCAGGGGAAAGAAAAAGAGTACTCATATATTTCATTGAAAAAATCATATTACCATGAATCAGCATCAGGAGCAACACATAGAATCCATAAAGATACCCACATTCGTCAAGCATTCTACAAAGCATTCTACAAAACCCTACGTGCATCCCAAAACCAAATGTATAAGATTTACAACATTCATTTTAACATTAAACAAATTAACACCATTAAACCAGTACACACTATGATTCATTGTTTCTGTTTGAATCATTCCTCCCCTCATCTTCATTCTTCCTATGAATAAGATTAGGCCTCCATTGGATATTTGATGCATTGCCATGTTAGGTAGTAGGCACCCACCATGCAAAGTAATTGCACTTGCCATCTGCACACTTGAAGTAAAGCCTCCTTGGATTTTTCTATGAGTCTGATATCTTAATGGCCGCTTTTTTGCCACATTTGCAACTTCGATTTTCGAACAGGCAACAATCGTTGCTTGAACTAGTGGAGGTATAAGCCATTGACATGTTACTCCTAATAGTAGCATTTTAACAAATAATTAGTACATTATTGAGCATAAAAAATACAATTCTCCATTCATAATGTCAAATGGCCCATGGAATGAAGATGGTATATGGTTTTGCTGGTGAAGTTTACTGTTGGAAGTATGATAGCCAAAAAAATTTGGTATTGTTATTCAAAATTACGAAGCATTTCATTGAGGCAAAATGTAAGTCTAGAAACAATAATTTGGCCATTCACAAAGCATTTCATTGAGGCATTTTAGCATACACTTGCAATGCAAAATGTAACTGTAGAGAGAATCACACATGCTTTCAATTATCACATATGCCTTCAATTCATCATTTCAACAAGTTGATTTTTCTTTTAAAATCACAACAGAACTCAACAAGTATATTTTCATAACATTCTTCATCACAGGACTTTTGTTCTGTTTTTCAAAAATCCTCTCAAGCTTTTCAGCAAGTCTATTTTATGAAGTATGATTTCATAACATTTTTTTGAGCAAGTATGATTTCATAACATTTTCAGCAAGTATGATTTCATAACATTTTTTTGAAAAATCACACAGCTTTTTATCGTGAGGATTAAATGGAGAGGATTTCAAAAAAAAAAAACGAAAAAAAAAAAAAATTAATCACTAAGCTTTATGATGGCGATTAAATGGCAATGATTTATAATAATAAAAAACAAAAAAAAACAAAAAAATCTGACCTTGGTTGTCAATGGAGGAGATTTGGGGATCTAGGGCTTGGGTAACTGTGCAACGTGTCAACGCAAAGAAGGGACGCCGAAAAACGCAGGAAGCCAGCCACCGCCGTCGATGGGTTGGTTGATTTTGCTCTTGTTTGCTAGACCGAAATAGTGTTTGGGTTTCAATAGAGTAGAGACAGAGAGAGGGAGAGAGAGGGAGTCCTAGATTTGGGTTTGAATAGAGTAGAGAGTGAGATTGTTTTTGGGTTGAATAAGAGAGAGAGAGATGAAAGGAGAAAGAGAGCCACACGTGTCACAGAGTTCATTCGCGCCATTCGCGCCTCACGGTCTCGAGGCCTGAAGTATTTTTCTAAATCATCACCCATAATCCTCATTTAACAAAAAAAAAATTCACAAACCATTATTTTTATTAGAAAATTAATATTTATTTCTATTTGTTTTAACAAAACTCACTTTTTAGCCATTTGAGCAAAAAAAAATTCATTTTTTATTTTAATTTGTTTAATTGACAACCGAGATTAAAAAAAAAAATTAATAGGATCTACCATGTTTTGCAAGTGCTAAAAAAGTCTAGATGAACAATAAAAAAAATGTTTGAGACACTAAAAAAAATCCATAATTGTGTTCACAATGATGTTGTATCATATGTGTCAACTTTTAATTTGCTATATACTCAATGACATGGGACACAACTCTCTTATTATATCATTGTGGGTGAAAGTATCGGTCTGTAACATTACTGGAATAATAAATTATCACATGTAACTTCTTTTTTTTTTTTTATTATGTAAAAAAAATAAATTTCACCAACTATCACTTTTAATAGAAAAAAAAATATTTGGTTGCATTTAGTAGAGCTTTCTAACTATGATTTGATAATAGAAGTTGTATTTTGAGTTTGTGAATTTTGAAATTATGATTTGAGTGTGAAAAATTTATTTAGTGAAATTGTTTTGAAAAAAATTTTGAATTGAGTGGAGAATTTTTGATATAACATATGATATTTGATACAAAAACTTATAACTCATAACCAGACATATAACACAAAATTCTATTAAAACACATAAAAAAAAATTTTAAAATTTAGAAAATATTTTTTTTGAATATCTAAAAATTAATATATGTCAATTGCAAAAAAAAAAAATTTACCCTATTCCGGTCAATCGGTGGGACGTCCGATGGGACGACTAGTGTTTTTAAAAGTGAGCATAGAATTAAGTTTTGAAATTCGAAAACAAACGCCGTGTTCAAAATAAGCTTTGGAACATTAGTTCCAGAGCTGTACCAAATAGAGCCAAAAGGTATGTTTGGTTTGTGTTTGAGAGATGTGTTTTAGAGATAAAAAGTACGAAAAGTTGTTTAGTTTGGTTTTTTTCAAAAGATGTTTTGAAAAATTATTTTGAGAGAGTATTTTGAAAAAAGTGATTGATTTGATGTGTGTGAGAGAGAGATTTGTTTAAAAACTTGTTTAGTTTATAAGTTTTGAGAAATTTTTTTGGAAAAATTTGTTTAGTTTGATTACTTTTAAAAACTTATTTGTAGAGAAAATTTTCCAAAATTTTTTCAGAAACACAAACCAAACGAACCCTCTATTTTTATTTAATTTTAGCAAAAGTTACTTCTTAACTATTTAAGCAAACAAAAAATATTTATTTTTTTATTTTAATTTGTTTAGTTAACAATTGAGATCAAAAAATCAAAAAAAGAATCCATTATGTTTGGCAATTGTTAATAATTTAAAACAAAAAATGACAAAAATAAAAATAAAAAAGTAAACTTTTAGTGCATTTAATAACATATTATGTTTAGACCACTAATATTATGACACATGTGAATATTGATCTCATTCTAATTGTAGCAACATAATTTAAAAAAGAATTTAAATTTAAAATTTTATTCTATAATTTTGGCTATTGATCTGTAGAATTTTGGGTTGAGTTGTTTGTGAATTTGAGCCTCCGTTTGAGAAGTGGGTTGGCTTTTTGGCTTTTTGATTTTTTTGACTTTTTTTGTGAGAGAAAAGTGTAATAATTATGGGTTGGATGTGATGTTTTGTCTGTTGTGGCTCAAATAACCTATTCTGTCTTTTGTGGCTCAAAGAGCCCAAATGAACTCTTCCCAAACGACACCTGAGATGTTTATTTAAATGCCTCAATGAAATGTTGATTTAGTTGCACGTTCAAAAGTGTTAAATAATTCTGAATCCATTGCAACAAATACAATTATGATTTTATGAGATGATGTCAAAATATATATTTTTATTGATAATTTGGGTTTTTTTTTTTTTGTGGTAATTTACATTCTCTAAATAGACAAGCTATGCATTTTCAAAACTGTCTCATTTTCATTGCCATTATTCTAAAAAGACTGTGTTAGCTTCAATATAACTAGTTTGATATAACTAGCTTAGCCTCTGTTTGGGAAGTGGGTTAGCTTTTTGACTTTTTTGACTATTTTAGCCTGGACTAAAAAGCTTGGTTTGGAAAAAGTTTTTTGACTTTTTGGCTTTTTTGACTTTTTTTGTGAAAGAATAGTGTAATGATTATGAGTTAGATGTGATGTTTTATTTTTTGTGGCTAAAATAGTCTATTTTATCTTTTATGGCTAAAATAGCTAAAAAAGCCCAGAAAAACCCTTCCCAAACGGACCCTTAAACAGTTTGTATGTTGGAGCTTTGCATCATGTGATTGTTTGGATGATGGGTCTATATTAATGAGATGAGTTTTGTTTTGACCAAGTCCATGAGATGAATTTTAGAGAAGCATTCCATGCTACTGCTGCCATACTCATGCTGCTGCTGCCATCTGCTAAAATTTGACCCCAAAAAATTCCACCAAAGACAAATAAACCAAAAATTTGTCAAATTTTTTTTTAATATTTAATATTTAAATTTTGACTTGTGTTTCTTTTTTGCAAACTTCTTTTAATATTTTCATTAATTTTTATGGATGTCCAGTTTAAATTTTGACTAGTGTGTCCAGGAAAGCACTACTTTTATGTAGTAAAACTATGGGCATTTTGCTTAATGTTTGGATTTACTCCTGTGCCAAAAAAAGAAGAAACACTAGACTCAAAACAACCTCACCAATCTTCCTAAATGGATAAATGTATATCAGAAGCCAAATGGTCCTGAGTTCCATTTTCCATTCAATTCTTCACAATCCATTTTGTAGGCAAAGGCTTGACTTCTCTTCCACATTTCAATTTTCAAACAAAGGAAATTATATAGACAGAATTCAAGACACAACTCAAAGCTGGAACCTTTACCTATGAACAACAACTCAAAAGTAAACCAAATGTATATTGTGGATTGACAGTGTGCACCAAAATCTTATAAGTGAAATGTGCCAAATTCACAGGGATAGTTTCACACCAAATTCACACCAACATTCATATATTCACACCAAATTTCAATTTCAACCTCCATCATAATCTATTCAATTTCACAGCAAGTTTCAACCTCCAACATTAATATATTCACACCAAATTCAACCTCATACATATTCACACACAAAACAAGAACAAAATCAACTTCATACATGTTTGCAACAATTTCAGCAACATAAAAAAAAAAAAAAAAAAAAAAAAAAAAAAAAAAAAAAAAAACAAAACATTTCAGCAACAGAGGGACAGCAGTTTGAGCAACATTTCAGCAACAAAGGGACAGCACTTTCAGCAACATTTCAGCAACAGAGGGACAGCACTTTCAGCAACAGAGGGAATGTCTTAAAAAAAACAACATTTCAGCAACATGGATAAATTAAAAAAAAAGGATTGTCTTTACAAAGCTTCAAGAAAAAAAAAATGCAGAGACAAATTTCAATTTCAAAAATGAAAGACTAACCTGTGGAAATGTCTGTAAATTATTATTATTATTATTTTTTCCTGTTTTCAACAGAGGAAGCCTCAATGAATTAAATCTTAAACACACACACACCAGTAGCGGATTTGCAAAATCTAACAAAAAAGAAAGTCTTTGCATGGATAAATAATATAAAAAAGGAATGTCTTTACAAACCTTTAAGACAAAAAAATAAATAAATTGCAGAGACAAATTTCAGTTTCAAAAATGAAGACTAACCTGTGATGATTGACGTCGAACTGGTTTGCTCACAACGAAGCAATGGGTTCGCGATGTGAGGGCAAAGAGAATGAGGGTTCGGTCAAATGGAGGAGAAGAGCGTGAGGGCTCTAGTTTGCGAAGCAGACACCTCGATCGGTCGTCGTCGGGAGTGGGTAACCGTCGACAGTAGGTCGCCGCCGGGATTGGGTCGCCAGTGAGGGTGGGTTCGGTGGAGAAGGGGGTGAGTGTGAGGCTGAGTGAGAGTGTATAGCTGTTGTATAGCCTGTATAAGCTGTATAGCTTTTGGGCGGGAAATTGGCTGATTTCAATTTCATAATTTTTTTTTTTTAAACCGTTGGATGTGCAACGGTTGCAAGAGGAAATAAAGAATGAGAGGTAAGGAGGGGATCTCGACTCGAGTCACATGGGCACTTAAAAAGTGGAGGGAGAAATTGAGAGGGAAGAGAAAATTAGGGGTGCGTTTGATTTGTGTTTTAAAATGTATTTTTGAATTAAAATTTTAAAAAATATGTTTGGTTATAAATTTTTTTAAAAAAAATTAAAATTATTTTTTTTCTATTACACATCAACTAATCATTTTCTCTCTCATCTCTTATTTTCAATCACTTTTTCTCTCATATATATCTACTCAATTATAATAAAATATCAAATCATTTTAAACTCTCAAACTCCAAAACTATTTTTAAAATATATAAACAAGCAAATTAAAAAAATTTCAAAATTCTCGTTAAATTGTTTTTAAAAAAAAATTTATTCCAAAATACAAATCAAACACACCTTGAACGTTTTAAAAAGAAAAAAAAATTATTTTTACACATCTTTTAATTTCTATGCATATTATATCTTAATTTATATATTTATAAATTTAACTAGCATATCACCCGTGCTATGGACGGATTGTGTTTATAATTATCTATATATGTGAATTGCGGTTTTTAAATGTCTTTTTTTTTTAAATGTCTTCTTTTTTTCTTTTTTTTTATATTATATTAAAGTTTATTATTTTGATAATAATCATATGTGTTAGACTTTTCAATAAATTAAATGTCTTTTTTATTTATTTATTATATTATATTAAAGTTTAATATTTTGATAATAATCATATGTGTTGAACTTTTCAACAAATTAAATGTCTTTTTTTTATTATATTATATTAAAGTTTAATATTTTGATAATAATCATATGTGTTGAACTTTTCAACAAATTAAATGTCTTTTTTTTATTATATTATATTAAAGTTTAATATTTTGATTTTGATAGATATACATAAAAAAAATACTGGGGGTTGGGAGAAGTTAATAAATGCTAAGGTTTTTTTTTTTAAAATAAAAAATCAAGAAATTTAGATTGGAATATTAGAGCTCCCACAAGACTTGGGGGGTTAGAAACCCTTTTTTCTTAATAGATAGATAGATAGATAGATAGATATATCTTTTTATTTTTATTTTTATTTTTGTGTGGTTTCTATACGGGTATTTTTTTTTTAATTTATTTAAGATGGAGTTGTGGGTATCTTTTTTTTTTAATTTAATTTATCTGTGATTTCCATTTGTTTTTAATTATTATTATTTAGGTAAGTTATGATGTGAGTTAGATATGTGATAGACATGTGAGCTTTATTAATTTAAAGTTTATTTAGATAAACTTTAAAGATTTTTTTTTTTAGTTTTATATTTTTTTTTTATTATGTTATAATATAATATATAAAATATAGGTAGATATCTACAACTTTAATAAAAAAATATTATCTGATTTTTTGAGGAAGAGAAAATGAATGCAGGTTTTAATATATTTTTTTTAAAATTTGTGAGAGAGATTAGGAGGGAGAGATTATAAAATATTTTTGTTATTAAATAAATAAATCAGACAATAGTTTTTTTTAATCTATTTTGTAAATTAAAAATCAATAATTTTGAAAAACTGATTAATTTGTCTCATTAAGTGATTTAAAATTTTAATAGATATACAAAAAAAATACATAATTATATTATTAAATCATAATTTAAATTTAGATGTTATATCTTTTTGAGATCTATAGCTAAATTCTTTTTCTTTTTTTTTTTTGTGTGTGTAACCATAGTGTATGGGAGAAATTGAAAAAGATGTTGCAATAATTATGAGAGAAGTTAAAAGAGATTGTGGGTTGGGAGAAATCAATAAATGCTAAGGCTTTTTTTTTAAATCAAAAAATTAAAAAATTAGGATTAGGAGATTGGAGTTCCCATAGGCCTTGGGGTTAAAAATCCCCTTTTGCTTAATATATAGTATAGATCTGATTTTTTGAGGAAGAGAAAATGAATGCAGGTTTTTATTTTTTATTTTTTTAATTTGTGAGAGAGATTAGGATTAGAAGATTGGAGTTCCCATAGGCCTTGGGATTAAAAACCTCATTTTGCTTAATATATAGTATAGATCTGATTATTTGAGGAAGAGAAAATGAATGCAGGTTTTAATATTTTTTTTAAAAAAAATTTGTGAGAGAGATTAGGAGGGAGAGATTATGAAATATTTTTGTTATTAAATAAATAAATCAGTCAATAGTTTTTTTAATCTATTTTGTAAATTAAAAATCAATAATTTTAAAAAATTGATTAATTTGTCTCATTAAGTGATTTAAAATTTTAATAGATATACATAAAAAAAATACATTATTATATTATTAAATCATAATTCAAATTTAGATGCTATATCTTTTTGAGATCTATAGCTAAATTCATATATATATATATATATTTTTGTGTGTGTAACCATAGTGTATGGGAGAAATTGAAAAGGGTGCTGCAATAATTATGAGAGAAGTTAAAAGAGATTGTGGGTTGAGAGAAGTCAATAAATGCTGAGGTTGGGTTGGGAGAAGTTAATAAATGCTGAGGTTTTTTTTTTTTTAAATCAAAAAATTAAAAAATTAGGATAATAAGATTGGAGCTCCCATAGGCCTTGGGGTTGAAAAGTCCAACAGATATGATTATTATCAAAATATTATACTTTAATATAATGAGAGGGTGATTTATGCTCCGGTGTTGGGCCGAGGTATAGACCGAACAAGTTGAGGGCCCAGCAGAGCATTGGGCCGAGATGATCGACTGTCCACCCGGAGGTGGGCTACCAGAAGTTGGGCCGGGCAGAGTTTGGTCTGTGTGTTGCCCCGGACCGTGCAGAAGCTGCTTGGCCAGGAAGTGACCGATCAGGCTAAGATGCTCGGTCCGAGGATTGTCGAGACCAGACAGACCGAGAGGCCGGCGCTCGGAAAGGCGCGGTCAGCCGAGGTAGTTGACTGACCGGCGAGAAGGCCGACCAAAGGAGGAGCCCGGGCTAAGCTCTGCCGAGATGCCGCCTAGCCCGGTCCTTCATTCGGTTATCTATAAAAAAGGAAAAAAAAAAGAAGACATTTAAAAAAAAAGGAAGATATTTAAAAATCGCAATTCACGTATATAGATAACTGTAAACACAATCCGTGCATAGCATGGATGGTATGCTAGTTATTTATATATGTGAATTGTGATTTTTAAATGTGTTTTTTTAAATATCTTATTTTTCTCCTTTTTTATATTATATTAAAATTTAATATTTTGATAATAATCATATGTGTTGGACTTTTCAAGGAATTAAATGTGTTTTTTTTATTATATTATATTAAAGTTTAATATTTTGATAACAATCATATGTGTTGGACTTTTCAAAAAAAAAAAATTTATGTTTGTTCTTAATGCATTAAAGTGTTATTATGAGGGATAATAATCATATGTGTTGAACTTTTCAAGAAATTTTTTTTATTGCTTGTTCTTAATGCATTAAAGTGTTATTATGAGGGATAATAATCATATGTGTTGAGACTTTTCAAAGAATTCATATATGTTGGATTTCAAAGAATTTTTTTTAAACTTGTTCTTAATGCATTAAAGTGTTATTATGAGGGTAAGACTTGGGAGTTAGGAGATGTCAATAAATGCTAAGATTTTTTTTTTAAATCAAAAAATCAGAAAATTTAGATTGAGAGATTAGAGCTTCCATAAGGCTTGGGGTTAAAAATCTCATTTTGATTAATATATAGTATAGATAGTATAGATTATATATTATTAATTTCATTTTACACACTAAATATTTTAATTATAATCCTAACTTATCTATACTATATATTAAGCAAAAGGAGATTTTTAACCCCCAAGGCCTGTGGGAGCTCTAATATGCCAATCCTAATTTTCTAATTTTTTGTTTTAAAAAAAAAAATTTAACCTCAGCATTTATTAACTTTTCTCAACCCACAAGACTTTTTGACTTCTCTCATAATTACTGCAGTACCTTTTCCAAAACAAATAATTTGTATATTAAAAAAAATTAAAACAAATATATATATCTGTATCTATCTATTTATCTATACTATATATTAAGCAAAAGGGGATTTTTAACCTCAAGCCTTGTGGGAGTTTCAATCTCCCAATCTAATTTTTCTGATTTTTTGTCTTTAAAAAAAAAAAATCTTAGCATTTATTGACTTATTCCAAATCCCAAGTCCTACCCTCATAATAACACTTTAATGTATTAAAAACAAACATAAAAAAAAAAATTTTGAAATCTAACACATATGAATTTCTTGAAAAGTCCCAACATATATGATTATTATCTCTCATAATAACACTTTAATGCATTAAGAACAAACATAAAAAAAAATTATTGAAAAGTCCAACACATATGATTATTATCAAAATATTAAACTTTAATATAATATAATAAAAAAAAGACATTTAATTCTTTGAAACTCCTGATCATCATTTAAAATCACCTCATACAAATAATTATAGATACAATCAATGTATAATTACTGCAGTACCATTTTCAACTCCTCTCATACATTATGATTAGTGATAAGATTGTTAAATTATTTTTATAAAAAATCTTATAAAACATAATTTATATATTAAAAAAAATCTAAAACAAATACAAATATCTAAAATTATTCCGTGTATAACACGGGTGATAAGCTATTACCCGTTATCCAAGTAGACTTTTCCACACACCGTACATTCAAACCCCTAAATTATTCACTGTCAATGCATTCTGTGTTTAGTCTCCGCAATTTCCGTACACTGCTTCCAATACCTGGTAAGAACATCTTCCAAGTAATCACCACGTATTTTTATCGGATAAGGGGTCACTGTTGTGCTTTACACACACCAATGACTGTGGTGCCTCTATTTGAGGTATATTATGATCTTATTTTTATGATCTAAATCGTCCATTTTGTAAGGTTTGTTGAGTGCTTCATGCTACTAAAAATCATATTAATCGGATATCAAAAATTATATGATCGAATTGCATATTAAGTATGTTATTTCTCAAAATAAA